ACTTGGACCAAATAAAAATCAGAAAATTACCAAGGCCCCTAAACTCGAAAGCTAGGAATTTAAGCCGAAGATAATCCCCTAATCTTCACTAAATCGAAGCAAGCAAAGTTTAATTGACAGAAATCTTGAGAAATAAGGAAGGGATTAGGTCTAGGGTTACAGAATTGGGGATTTCACTGTAGCTGTTCTTCATTGCTTGCCGTGATTATCCCCTAATCTTCACTGAATCGAAGCAAGCAAAGTTTAATTGACGGAAATCTTGAGAAATAAGGAAGGGATTAGGTTTAGGGTTACAGAATTGGGGATTTCACTGTAGTTGTTCTTCTTCATCCGTTGATCGCGTCGGATACGAAAGAAGAGTTTTGATGGAATGGTTTTGTTCCTGTAGTGTACTGTTTGATGCTTTGTTCGTTACTTAAGTGGGTAATAAAAAAAAAAGAATAGTTGTTTTGTCCCCCCACTCTTTTATTTGTGATGTTCTTTATTTATTTTTTAAATCGAACGTTAGATAAATAATTTTGTCCTATCCAGTCCCTCATTTTTTAACAAATCAAACATACCTTTCATGTATGTATAATAGTTATATAATATCTGTTAAATGTCATGTGCGTATAGCAGTTATATATTACGTGTTCTACAACGGTTATAGTCCTTTTTTAATAAAAAAAATTATGTATATTAAATAAGGGTAAAATTAGAATAGCAAAAGAGGCGGACTAAAAAGGTGTATCCCCTTTATCTATAGGTATAGATATAGATATAGATTTTGCATTCCATTTCGATAAAACATGCTTTTTTTGTAGCATTTTTATTCCAAATATACTATTTTCAGTTTTTATTTTAAACTTTAACTTCTCTTTCTAACAAATGATGATTATATGATGGTTTAATAATTTTTATACAATTAATTACACAATAATTTACATTGAACAATTATTATCATCTTTCACTTAACTTCTTATAACTTCCATTTAAATTAAAATTAAATAAAAGAATATCATTTACATTTTTACGTGTGTATATTAAAAAAATGGACAAACAGACCCACAAGTGTCAGTCTGAACGCTAAATGTCATAAAACAAAATTCAAAAAATAAAATTAAAAAATTGTTGATGACATTTAAATGGATAATTACAAACACTAAATACAAATTACTTACATTAAAGTCTAAAAAAAAGTATTTATTAATTTTACCAATTAAATATAAAGAATACATTGATTGTGATAGAACTGAAAAACAAATAAAAACAAATAAACAAACATTAAAGTTTTAAAAAAATTATTAATTTCACCAACCAAATACAGAAGGATACATTGATTTGGATAGAACTGAAAAAAAATCAAAACAAATAAATAATTCTATAAAAACAAAAGAGAAAAAAGTATTAATTGATAGCATATTGATTAGGATTGAACTGAAAACAAATCAAAATACATTAACAATTATAGTAAAAACAAAATGAGAAAAAAATATCTTACAATAGAATAGAATACCATATATGAAAAATAGAATCGAAAAAAAAAAAACTGAACATGAAGATATGATAAACATAAGGTGTTATGTTTTGTTTTGAATTTAAATTTCATTTTGCTTTTTGTTTTTTAAGTTTATTTATTTCTTATTTAGATTTGGGTTCAATAACAACATGATTTCTCACATCTTCTTTATTTTACTTCTATCCCCTTTTTATTTTATTCTCTCTATTTCTATTTTCACTTTCATTTTATTCTCAAATTTAAACATTTTAGTTAGTAAAGTTTATTTTATTTTATTTTATTTTATTTTAGTTGGTTAATTATGCTAATTAAATTTAATTAATTTTATTAATCAATTGAATCAATTTTTAATTAATTATTTTTGATAATTAACTCTAACTAGCCTGATTAATTGATTTAATCGATTAATATTTTTAATTAAAAGTCTTTTCTTGTGATTAATATAATTGATTTAATTAAGCAACTTGACTTTCTAAAATCAATTCTTTCAAGATAAATAAGTTCGATTCAATGTCGAGTAATTTTTTCAAATCAAATCATTCTCATTCTCACTGTCAATTTGATTTCATTCATGATCCTTTCATGTCCAAAGCATTTTCTTATTTAATTCCAAACACTTGATCCAATGTCAAGTTATCCGTTAAAATTTTTTTCACAATAAATTGCCGATTGAAAAGATTGGGGTGGAAGCAAATTTCCTTCCTTTTTCCGATGTTCATGTGACGGTCGCACTAACCTACCGTTTGAACATTCCTCAATCACTTTAAAACACTCTTAAATAAAAGATTTAAGTTGATTCTTTTATGGATGAAAAAGATGGTGGTGGAAACAATTTTCTTCTCCTTTCCCAAGTATTCTGTGATGGTCGCACATAGCCTACCATTCGAATACTTTTCGTCCGTTAAAGAAACATGACTTGATTCCCACACAAATTTCATAATTAATCGATTGAAAAAGATTAGGGTGTAAGCAATTTTCCTCTCTTTTCGTGAATGTTCATGTGATGGTCACACTTAGTATATCGTTTGAATATTCGTCAATCATTTAAAATACTTTAAACAAATCAAATCTAATTTTTCTCGGCCCAGTGCGATTGAAACCAATCAAACATAATTACTTGCCCTCTTGCGATCAACAACTAAAATTTTTTCATACAAGGATATTGTTTAGTCCGTTCTAATGCGCTTGCAGACTAGTGCTTAAGCCCCCCTCGAAAGTAAACAAGTCAATGTTCAACCATTAGAACGCGATCTAAATGCTTATCCATTAAAAAACACAAACAAACAAACCGTAGTCCCCGAACTACAAATACTCTGATTTCCTGATTGCACTATGAAGATACGTAGGCACGAGATTGCGAGATCTTGACGAGCACCCTAATAAAAAAACCTCCCCTTCTTCTCTTTTGAGGTTTCCGTTATTTCCATTTTCTAATCCTTTTAATCGAAGTTAACATTCAGATCACAAATCTAACTAAGAGGTTTCCGTTAAGTACAACGGACGTGAGGGGTGCTAATACGTTCTCCTTGCGTAATCGACTTCCGAACCCAAATATGTTTGTGACAACCATTATTCTATTTTAAAGGTTTTATTGATATTTTTCTATTCCTTTATTGGGATAAATAAAGTTCGAATGTGACTCTGTTCAACTATTTTTCCACGACTATCGTGAAGGATCATATTTTTTCTAGGTACGACACAAAGACCATATGAAAGTTCTTGTTCTTCCAGATCTTCAAAGCCTTCCTCACTGAGATATCCAACCGCTTCACAATCTTTCAATTGATGTGCAACTCTTCCACAAACAAAACAAAAAGTTGGCAATCTCTCATATTTTAGGTGCACTAGGATATTTTTATCCTTGAAACTCACAAATGTTCCCCTTTCCAAAAGGACCTGAAGTGAACGTTCAGCTCCTAAGGTTGTTCTTCGCCTGATACACAAGTTAGCACCAACAAGTTCCTCTTAAAGTTCCAAGGTTCGTTTTACAAAACACTCTCCAGGCCCCTCTTCGAAGCAAATCAGAGCAAAAAGAGGTCATTGTTCAACTCTTGAGTTTCAACTGGATTTTTGAGCTTCCAGGCACCTACCACTATGTTTGCAAAAGCTCTCGAATTAAAACTATTTTCCGTCCAGAATTTCCCAGTGAGAGTACGTTGGAAGATCTCTTTGTTGTAAACCTCTCTGACTTCTGCAGTAACCCTTTCTTCTTCCTTCGATAATGGAATGTTCTTCCACTTATCCATTGACGAACAATACCGCAAGGAAACAAGCCAGAAAACGGTAGAAAAAGCAAAATGTTACAAAGATTGTCACACTCCTAACAGAGGAGAGGAAAGAGAAACAAGGATGAAAGCCAAACTGGTTGGGGAAAGAAAACGGAGACGACCGCCACCAAGAACCCTAGAAAACAAATGGGAAAAGAAAACCCTAAAAACAAAGAGGAAAGGGAAGACACGATAAGTTATAATGTGTACAAGTTATAATGTTATACATTTAATAAAATTGATAAGTGTGCAGGTGTATATAATAATAAAAATAAAAATATATAAATAAATATTGTTGAGTATAAGTTGAGGTGGATATTAAAGTACTTGTATCCGCATCCACACCTAGTTATTTTAGTGTATATAATAATAAAAATAAAAATATATAAATAAAGATTGTTGAGTATAAGTTGAGGTGGATATTAAAATACTTGTATCCGCATCCACACCTAATTATTTTAGTAGATAATTATTTGTGCATATCCTCGTTATAAAAAAAGAGTATAGTGCGGAATGGATATTAAAGTACTTATAATCACCTCCATTGTCTAAGTCTAAAGAAAAGAAAACTATACAAAAATTAAACAGAAAATACACTTCTAGAATCATTTACTAGATTCATAATCACGTTATGTATAAGACTATTGTAAAATTCTATTAAACAATAAACATCATAAATTTTAAATCCACTCTTAAACAATCAATTGTTATATATATTATTCTGTCGGTCCCACAAAGTCACTTATTTAAAATAGTGATTCATAGATTATAACTAAACTTTGTTTCTTTTTGAACACTTAAATATCTTATGCGCATTCATCTTTTTTATCAAAAACTCGTTCATTTATTTTAGTGTGAATCATGGTTTTAAATTGAGGTTACAGTTGTTTCGATTTGCGCTGATGTAAATTGTGGTTGTTGAGGATGAATTTTAATTACGTTAAAAAACACTTAGATATTAAGATTTTTCATTGTTTAGAAAGTAAATTGAATTTTGAGGTTGAGAAATTGAATTTTGAACATATGATTTTAATTCACACCGCAATTAGGGTTTAATGCGGTTGCAAAAGCTACTGCATCAACAATATTACACTCTATTGTAGTTCAGGGTGTGAATATTTTTTTCATTGTGGAGTTACTGCAATAGAAGTGGCAAATGTCCATCATATTAGATCTATATTTCTTTTTTATTACAGGAGCAATAAGAAAACTCACACAAAGATACATATTTTTCACTAATCAATAGGGTTTCCCATACATGTTTTCTTTAACTTTGTTAACTCTCTTCCAAATGTCTCATTTATCTTATGCACTGCCTCATCAATGCATCTAAAGTAAGCTTGCCTCCAACCCTTCTTCAACAACAAAGCTCCAATCACAACCCAAAAGCCACTACCAAATCCTAGTGCTATCACAAAGTAAAACAACCATTTCTCAGCCTTGTCTTGTTCTTCATCTTCATCTCCACTTTCATCTCTATCATTTTCATCATCACAATGATTGGACAATGGTGCACCGCAAAGAAATTTGTTGCCACCATAAATAGAAGGATCATTTAGTGTTAAAAACTGGTTTCCTTGTGGAATTGGTCCGGAAAGGTTGTTGTAGGACAAGTTTAGTACACTTAGAAAAGTTAGACTAGACATTGTTTGTGGAATTGAACTTGAAAGTTGATCATGAGAGAGGTCCAAAGATTCAAGTGACTTCATGTCTCCTATGGTTGTAGGAATTTCACCTGACAAATGATTGTGTGACAGGTTTAGGCCTTGCAACCCTGTAAGAAGAGTTATTCCTTTAGGAATAAGTCCACTCAAATTGTTGTTTGATAAATCCATGTTGGCCACAAGTTTCAAATTTCTTGTATAATGATCTTCTCTTCCTTTAATGATTTGGCTGACATCTTGGTCATACCATTCCAAATACCTAGGCTCTCCGGGAGCTAAGGAAACAGCCGTCGGTTTGTATCCTTGAAACATTGCTGTAAAATTTCCAATGCACTGAGGTATTGAACCTGTCAACTTGTTGTTGGAAAGGTCCAATATTTGCAAAGCTGGAAGTTTACAAAGTTGTGATGGAATGTTACCTTGAAACTTGTTTTTCTTCAACCTGAGAATTTGCATTAAGGAGAATACATCCCCAATCCATGAAGGTATATTCCCGCACATTTGATTTTCTCCCATATCTAAGATTAATAGTTGTTTTAAATTCCTCAAGAATGATGGAAACTCTCCTTCAAGACTATTATTGTTCAAATGTAACCACGCCAAAGTGGAAAGATCACCGAACGAGCTTGGAACAACACCTGATAATTTGTTAGATGATAGGTTTATCTCATTCAATCTTTTACTTTCACTCCAACAATTTGGAATGTTGCCAACTAAATTGTTGCCTGAAAGGTCAAGATTGTACAACGAGTTTATTTTGCACAATGAATTTGGTATGGAACCATTAATGAGGTTGTTTCCAAGAAGCAAGTGAGTAAGATTAGGAAATCTAAGAGCAATATTTTGGAGAAGTGATCCAGAGATATGGTTATTGGTGAGGTTCACATAGGCCAATGACTTAGGAAATTTTATTTCAGAAAAAACATTTTCCAAATTGTTGAGAGACAGGTCTAAATTTTGCAGGTTCACAAGTTTACCAAAAGTAAGAGGAATTTTCCCTTGCAAATTATTTTTACCAAGGTAGAGGGTGTGCAAATTTGAAAGTTGACCAATACTTGGTGGGATTGTACCATTCAGAAAATTTGCTGAAACATCAAGGTTTACTAGGCCAACCATGTTCTCAATATTCCTAGGAATAACACCATTAAAATGATTGAAAGAAATAATCAAGGTGTTTAGATTGACAAACTGTCCTATACAATCAGGAAGAGACCCAGACAAATTATTATTGTGGAGAAGCAAGTATTTAAGATTGACAAGTGTTGTTATACTACAAGGAAAACCTCCTAACAAGTTGTTATTAGAAATGTCTAAAATGGTTAGATTCTCCAGTTTCCCTAAAGAGTTTGGAATAGATCCATTAAAGTGATTGTTAGCAAGACTTAAGTATTGCAAACTTGACAATTTTCCCAAAATATGAGGAATAGGACCATGAAAAAAACTTGAATGAAGTGTGAGGATTTGCAGGTTTTCAAGTTGTCCTAACCATGTTGGCAGCTGATCATTGAAATTATTGTTGTTCAAATCAAGTTCCTCTAAATCAAATCCATTGCATCCTGAAGATTGTAAATTACCGGCAAGAGCATCTCCTTGAATTCTATTTTGAGACAAATCCAATGACAGAAGATGGCACATAGTCCCTAGAATTGATGTTAGAGAACCCTCAATATGGTTTACATGATTCGATGAAAGATTCAGATACAAAAGACTCTCTAACCCACCTAACCACAATGGAACAGATTCAAACTTGTTTTGAGAAAGGTCAAGCATTATCAGAGAAGACAGATTTTGAAGAGGGAGTGGAAGTGAGCCATTAAGAGCATTGTTTTCAAGATAAAGATAACTAAGTTTGGCACAATTACTCAACCAAAACGGAACTGAACTGAGACTGTTGTTAGAAAGGTCAATATACTCAATTGAAGCACTCATGTTTCTAAAAACATTCAAATCTGAACCATCGAGTCTATTATCCGCAAGATTAAGAGACTCGATGCTAGAAAAATTTGAGTAACTATCAATTTGATGATAATCACTTTGCATCTTGGTTAAGCTGCAGTTCATCAAGTCTAATTCTAACAAAGAAGGAATCATGTGAAGTACCTGGAATAAATTTTGAGCCCTTTCGAGAAAAACATCACTCATGTAAAGATACTGAAGCGATGAAAGGTTTGAAAGCCAATAGATGTCATCAGAGTGTAACCAAGAATTGAAACTGAGATCAAGAAAGGTCAACTTTGTGAGGTTTCCAAGATTGTTTGGAATCATGCCATTAAAATGGGAATCAGAGAGAGAAAGGTGTTGTAAATGGTTCATAGAATGGAACCACAATGGTATCGAACTTGAGTTAAAACTGTTTCCGCTAAGGTCCAAATAAGAAAGATATTTGAAATTTGAAAGAGAAGGATGGAGATATTGAGCTTCAAGCTTAGAGTTTGAGAAGGAACAGTTTGGTGGATAATCTTGTCCTCTTGGTGGGTAGCATGGATTTCTGAGATCAATGTTGACGACATGTCCGGTAATGTTGCTGCAAGTAATACCTTTCCATCTGCAACAATCATTTCCTTCCCAAGAGGAAAGTCTATATGAAGGATCATTGAAACTTCCTTTGAAATCAACAAGAGCTTCTCTCTCATGTTGCATGCAACCAAACGATGAATGAACACTGGAACACAATACAGCATATGTACAAAAATGTAAAATAATGACAAAAACAAAGGTTTGGTATCTACACATTTTGAGGGAAGTGGTGAGTGGAGGTGATTTCACATACGCTACATAAATAGGCATGGCATGCTATTTTTCAATGTTAGTTAAAGAAACAACTTTTTGGATAATGAGAACACTCTTTTTTCATTTCTTGACTAATAATGACAAAAGTAGCTTTAACTTTGAAAACAATTGCAAGACAGTGCCTTCATTGTCACGGTCAAAATTGTCGCCTTAGAATCCCATAATGTTTATGGTTTTATTTTATCATTTTGTCATGGACCATTGACTTCATTGTGTTCTACAAGCTGCAGAAGTTACAAGTTGTTATTATAATATGAATGGATAGCAATATTGTTGTACCGAATTGTTTACGGGTGATAGACTAATGAACAATTTAAGATATATATTTCAAACGTTGTTTTTTCTAGGTGGACTTTTAAAATTTATCTTTTCAAAAAATTAATTTTTGAAATTTGTTTAAAAAATAAATTTAATTATATGTATTGTTAATTCAATTTTTTCGGCATTGTCAATTATTACATATATTTAGCTTTTATTATAACTATTTTTAAAATCATATTTATATATGATTGTGATTTGATTACAGTATAAAACTTTAAAAAAATTTATCATTTTTTTTTAGTGAATCCGATTCTACATTTTTTTTTTTACAAAAGCAAATAAGTTTTTGATTTTAAATTTTATTTTATAAAATGAATGTTTTCTTAGTGAATCCAATTTTTTAAAATATTCAGAAAATTTTATTTATTTTACAATACTTTTGTTTCTTTTTATAAGAGTTATTGATTGTAAAATGTTGTTTTTTCTTTTAAAAAAATTAGACCTAGTTTATTTATTTTACTGATTTGGACATTAGAGTGCTAACCTGAAAATCCATCCACGCACTATCGTATTAGAGTTCCACGTTGTCGCATCAATACTCTACTTCATCATTTCACTAATCATTTATGGTTTTATAATGGAAGAGCGGCGTTGTATGTGGGAATCAATATATAATTCTTGGGAAATTCCACAATTAGATTCCTTTTGATCCAAAGTCACAAATAACAATAACGATTGCGCTCAAAAGAAGATGACTTCAGATCCAACTGTAGAAAACATCATAGCTCCTCTAGAATCCAAACCATCCCCTACATTTGTCGTTGATTCATTTGGTATCAAATCTTCTAGAAATTCATTCAAATCATTAACAGTAGTCCAAAAAAATAAGATAGACCTATTATACGGTTTTGAGACCACAAGAAGGTTGATGAAACTCTTAATACGATTCTCTCAGTAGTCGTAATCACCGTTGTAGCCAATCAATTTGTATTGGGGATCCTCAATGATGACGAAAGCTCATAGATATGATGTACCTCATAGTCTTTAAGAAATTAGGACTGCACATGAAAGATTTGAAACCATGTAAGAGTTGTGACCGTCTAACATTCAAAGACTCTTCAATTTGTCCATGTTAAACCCTAGATCTGCTAGTCACGTTTAGAGAAGGCGGGAACAAGAGAATTTTGAACGCATGCTTCCTTCTGATCCATTGGAAGCATATACAACTGTCGTCCATAGTGAAGAAAAGGTTTGTTAAGTGTCTCGTAGCTGTCGCTACTCAAAAAATGCATCGTGCAACGACGGGGAGGCGAAAAAAAAAGGACAGAAGAGTCGCCACCGAACTTTATTTATCCCATGAGGGGAAAGGAAAATATCGATAAAACCTTAAGGAAGAAATGGATAAGATGGTCTCGCAACCAAGAACGGGTTCGGAAGCCGGTTATGCGAAGGGAAGGTATTAACACCCCTCGCATCCATCGTGCTCAATGGGAACCATTTGTTTGTCGACATGTGAAGATATCTGCTTAAATATTACTGTTATGAAGAGTGTTCCAAAGGATAAAGAGAGGTTTAGAAACAGAGAAATGAGGGATAACGGGGAAGAAAGGACTCGGTAGGACTTCACGGTCCTAGGCCTACGTATTCTTAACAGATATGAGAAAGTCAGAGTCAACGTAGTTCGGGGAACTATAGATATAGGGGGGAAGTGTGCTCGGCAAGGATTGTGGCCTTTATGCCTACGTATCTTTACTTAAAATAAGTAAAGAATCAGAGCAGTCGTAGTTCGGCCTACGGTTTGCAGGGAGGTTCTGGTAGACGATGCTATCGTGCGCATTCTAGTAATTTAGGTGTATTGCTGCTCGCTCGTTCGGAGACTTAGGTGTTACCTGTTTGCGGTAGAACGGACGTAGTATGTCTTTCTAGGGAAAGGGTGGAAAAGAGGAAAGGGTGCTCGCTAGGATATCGCAATCCTATGCCTATGTATTCTCAACATGCAAGAGAAATCAGAGCAACGTAGTTCGTGCTACTACGGGTAACTGGTGTTTTTGTGGATAATGTTATCGTGCGTATTCTATCAGTTTAGGTGTTTTGCTGCTCGCTCGTTTGGAGACTTAGGCGTTACCTATTTGCGGTAGAACGTAACTTAATGAATAATTTTGAAAACTCTTTCGAATTGTATGTAAACATGATTAATGAAAGAGGTTAATGAAAAATATGAAGAAAAATGATATATATATATATATATATATATATATATATATATATATATATATATATATATATATATATATATATATATATATATATATATATATATATATATATATATATATATATATATATATATATATATATATATATATATATATATATATATATATATATATATATATATATATATATATATATATTCAATGATGTCTCTTGGAATAAACTTGAAATTTCCTTTTATGCAACTTGAATTTTAATCTTAACCTAACTAAGTTTATCATTGATGCTTTCATCTTACACTCATAGCTCCCACCAAACCCCCAACCATTCTTCTAGAGAAATTATAAAAGAAGTTGTTCAAACAACTCTCATATACCTTGATAATGCTATGAATCAAACCCAACATCAACTTGATGAAAGGTTTGATAAAGCTAATCATATTTGCATCAACAAGTTGGACAGATCCACACAAGGATGGACAATGAAAAACAGGTGGCATACTTACGATACAAATCAATCATGTCCATTCTAAGTAAGTTGGTTGCACAAAAGGGAGCAACAAAATTATGCAACTGTTCATACAATAGTTAGTTCATCAGGTACAACTTAAAACGCTAGCTCTACACTTATGAGTACAACCCCTATTTTCCATGTTATTGCTCATACCAACGCCCCACTAGAAACTCTATAATTTTTTCTCATACACCTAATATACCTACTATTCCTATAGTAATGAGACCAACTACTACACCACAACCATCACCTTACCCATCCTACATCCCACCCCAACGACTTTTCTAGCCACACAAAATGACTCCCTTCCTTTTCTCCACCAAACCCCATACCCTCCCATTCCACAAATTTCCTCATTACCCCTTTTCTGAACCCCAAAATTGGAACTTGCTTTGTTTGATGGTTCAAATCCATTAGAGTGGTTATTTCAAGCTAACCAATTTTTCACTTTTTATCAATTACCACCAGAAAATATATTACCTTTAATTTCATTTTATATGAAAGGTGATGCTTTGGGTTGGTTTAAATGGATGCACCAAAACCAGTTCTTAACAGATTGGGGTTCTTTCGCTAAAGCTTTAGAATTGTATTTTGGTCCATCAACTTATGATAATCAAGAAGTTGAGTTATTCAAATAAACCCAAGATGGGTCTGTTGTGGATTATCAAACTAAGTTTGAACAATTAGGAAATCAAGTTGTTGGCTTACCACAAGATGCTATTTTAATTTATTTATTTATTTCTGGTTTGCCTATCAAAATTCGTAATGAAATGGCAATTCATAAACCATCTTCGATATCACAAGTCATTGGCCTTGCATAATTGGTAGAATCAAAACTCAAAGATGTCAAGCACAAATTCACCAAACCCTATGTTAACACATACACTAAAACCTAACCAAATTATACCACTCAAAAACTAATTCTACCCCTACCCACCAAATTTCCATTCCTCCCAAAACTCAATACATCATCCCTACCACAAGACTGCCCGTTAAACGCCTATCCCAAGCCCAATTACAAGAGAGAAGGGCTCAAGGATTATGTTTTAATTATGATGAGAAATTTATCCCTGGTCATAAATGCTCCTCTAGTAGATTTTTACTACTTTTGGCTGAAGATGACTCTACAGAATCACACCTCTTTATTGAGGCCAACATTGAACAAGAAATTCTAACAGATCATGATGCTACTTATTTTCAACTATCCACTCAAGCATTTACAGGTCAATTTTCCCCTTAAACTCTCAAATTCAAGGGACTCATTGGCGGTTTATCCTTCATGGTGCTAGTTGACACTAGCAGCACACATAACATCATGCAACCTCGCATCGCACATCATCATTAACTTAAAGCCACTTACAATGTGACGACATATGCAACAATGTTAAAATTATTCTCGAAGACAAACCCTTTAACCTATCTTTCTACTTACTTCCTATTGAAGGGGTCGACGTTGTCCTCGGTATGGCGTGGTTACGCGCTTTAGGCCTCATTCAGGCTGATTTTTTTTCATTTCCTCTATCACATTTGCTCATAAGGACACATCATTGACCTTGCAGGGAGACCCTACATCTCAAAAAATGCATACTACTTTTCACCAACTCAAACAACTTATCCATACCAACTTCATTTCATCATTACACCTAATGATTTTTGAACCTGCCAATTTCACAACTAACACCAAGCAACACATTCCCTTGGATTTTGGAGATTTACCCCCCTAATTAACCCACAAATTTATAAACTCTTACATAATTACCCAACCATTTTTCATTCCCAAATTGGCCTTCCCCCTACTAGACCCTACAACCATCACATTAACCTTCTTCCTAACACCCCACCTATCAATGGCAAGCCTTACCATTACCCACATTCATAAAAAGATGCTATGACATCCATTATTGAGGACATGTTAAGAGAGGGAACAATTGTCCCTAGTAACAGTCATTTTTCCT